TTCAAGCCTTGAAATTGACGTAGCGCGAGAATTCTGGTCTTCTAGCGACAGACTCGCCGTTTTCAAACTCAACACTAGCAGTTCTATAAATCTAACTTTTATTTAGAAAAATTCTTCACAAAATTTTAAATTAAAAAATAGATTTCAAATTTTAGCTTTTATATCTTTTATTTCTTTTATTAATAATTAAATTCACAGTATCTTATGTTAATTTAATTTAATTGGTAAGTATACCATTTTTTATCACTATAATATAACTCTTATCGATTCGATTAATTTAATTGCTGGCAATTTTTCCGGTCAACAAAAATGTTAACTGATTAAAAATTATTAATTTATTCGATTTTTTGTCCAATGGCAAACAACTTTTTTTTTTTTTGGCCAGAAAAATAGACAATACTGAAAGATCTTTAATTTATTAGTATCTCGCATTATTTTAATTTTATTCATGTTAATCTATGATTGCAAAGATATTTTATTAATTGATGTATGCTATTAACTTAATTTTGTTTTCTTTTAATTTAATTAGAATATATTTTTAAATAAGTAATTCTAATTTACCTAGTTCATTGTTTACCAACGAATTTGTTTTATTCATAAATGCATTAAAAAATAGACAATTTACTGTATTATCATTAAAACATACTTTTTAACTTTGACTTTTACTGTCCAGTATATACAAAAAATAGGCAATTTGAGTTTGCAAATTTATTATTATCATTGGTGAAATTTTTTCATTTTACGTTTCTTTTTAAACTTAAAAACATGATTGCTATCAGGGCCAGCTTTATTAATACGAACCTAAATTACAATAGGGGGTTTCAGAGTTAACTAATTTTGAAAATAAGTGGGAGTTTGAAAAGTCCTATTTTTGGAATGATGGTATTATATCTTATTATATAAATAGGCTTACAAATAAAAATAAATAGGATTTATAGATCGCTAATTACAAAATTAATACGTCGCTAATTTAATTCGAAATCAGAAACCTGAACCTTAAGTCTGAAACCCCCTAATATAGCAAATTCAAGTGAATACATTCTGGATGTCTACTATTAACCTTCCACTCTCATGCAAAGGAAGGTTTATATCATTTACCTTTCTGGTTCTTGTTTGCCTCTGTTTGAATTTCGATTAGACGGACGGAGCAAGAAATCAAAAATCGGAAAGGAGTTTGGTATCACTAGAGACACTGCTCATGATGGCGGTATCTTTACTTAATCAAGGTGGAAATATTGCACTATCCAACGCAAGGATATTTAAATTCACAACCTCACCAGCAACTTGAATTCCTACAATTCCAAATTGGTTACCAGCTGGTCTGAATGATGTACTAACATAACTTACTCCATTCAATGCCTCCTATATTAGCGTAGGCAATGTTATAAAACTCAGTATTACATTTCTTCGAGCCTTACTAGCCAAACTCTGATGCTCTGCTTATAATTTGACAAAAAAATTACAATAGTATAAATCACACTTTTTGCGAACATTATTTGTCAAATACTGCTTACCTGTTCAAACAGAGATTACTGGAATGAGCGATCCATAATAGGTAGCCTTTGAGATTTCGATAATACTGTTTGGAACTCCTCTAAGGCCGTAAAGGTCCATAACATGCGTCCCTGAAATTTGTATGGTTGGTCAAATTGTACGGTATAACAAGTTATATATACCTACATAAAGCATTTAATATATGCCTAATTCGATCTTTAAAAAAAAATTAGAAATTATATTGTTAACACGCTAAATTCGAATGAAGCTCTTCCAGATATGTAATACAATATAAAGAAATTCACTGAAAAGAGAATTGATTATAGTAATATTCTGTTTGAATTAAACAGCGTACATTTGAGTACATTCGACTGATTACCTACTGTATATGGTGTATATGAGAACTGATATCAGAAAAATTTTGAGAATTTTCAGACTGATTAGTAACGTCATAAAAGTTTATTTATGACCCCAATAATTTTTATATCCCAAAATTTTTCTACGTATATAATAAAATTTTTAACAACATTAACAATTGGGATTTATGCCGGTATATTTGAATGAGAAAAAAACTTTGGTGTCCGTATTATTTTACCGACAATCACTTCAAAGACACCACCATTCCACCGACAAGCTTATTTTACAAACGATTAACTTACAGATAAGTTCATTTCGTAGACAATATTTCGCCGACAGCTCATTTAACTGACAGGTTTTTTTTTTATAAACCGCACTCACGATGATGACTAGAATTACTTTGTCTGTGAACGAGCTGTTGGTTAATTAGTAATAAGAATTTAATAACTTTTGAACGAGTAAACGTGTACAATTAAATTATATTTACCAAAGTCCTCATAATACATTCTTTAAAATAATAACGTTTTATTATTATTATCATCATCATTATTATTAGATAATTAACTTTCACCTTGTATAAATAATAATAATATTATTATTACTTCAAAGAGCACGTTAAGAGAATTTTAGTGAATATAATTTTAAAGTGGTTCTAGTTTTTCTGATTCTGTTTTATCCTGATTAGCTACTATGATTTATTCTCTACTTTTAATGAAATGTTTTTTAGCGATATATTGACAAGTTTCTCTTCGTTTCATACACCTTGACGATATTGGGATATTCGGTCAGCTATGTAAATCAATATATATATTAATAAAATTAATTATTAAGATTTTTTTGAATTTAGTAATCATGATAGTAATCAGAATTATTTATTACTTTTTATTTATATTTTAATATATAGTAAAGAATAGATTTGTATGTTTATAGATGTCTAGAGCGAATCGCCTTACTTTTTTCAATTAAACACGTTTATAACAAAGTTGAAAATTTCAATATATTCTAGTATTAAATTTTTTATATGCAATGAAAATAACTCTCTTTTGAGTAGTTCATAATGCGAAACTGGATTTTGTAAGGAGTCAATTGAAATAAGTATTAACTTTGTTATAAACGTGTTTAAGAATAGATTTATGCTAAAATAATTGAAAGGAGTAAGGCGATTCTCTCTAGACATTTAATATATATTAAAATATATAAAAAGCGATAAATAATTCCGATTACTATCCTGGTCAATAAATTTAAATAAATCCTTAAAAATTATTGCGTTTTGCAATTGATATCTATCACTATGATTATTGGGGGTTTTTTTATTTTTTTTATAAAATGATTGTGATTGCGGTTGCGATTGTGCTGGAAGTATATCATAAAACAAAAATAATTTCAGCATTAAAGCTTAGAGATACGGCTAAAGATATTTTTATTTCAATTACTCTTAAGTGCTTAGGTTTAAAAGTACATGGCATTGTTTAGCTTCATCATTACTGTTAATGATTCAGAGCTTTAATTTTGGCGAAAGCTACATTTTTCTAATGGACTATTATCAACTTCTGTATTATTAAAAGATGAATCTATTATTTCTTTAATATAGAACGAGATGAATATAAGACGTATACAATCAACTTTATATCGAGCCAGCCAGACCAACAAATTTTGTTCGATGGAAAACGAATTCGAAAATACACATATATTCTCTTTATATACCGAATGAATAGATATACTGTATCATGTTCAGAATCAATGGTTTTGATTCAAGCTATGTACTTATAACGCTACAATTGCAGAAACAACACTTTCTTCTAATATCTGAGTATACACCATCATGCGCCTTTTCCCGAATTTTCTTAGACTCACACTTGTTTGTGCGATTGTTCTATTTGATGATCTCTAAAGCTTTAGTCAATCCTTCAAAATCATCATCTTTTAGTTTTCAATATCCCAAGGCACTGTTATATCACGTTACCAGAATCTCATTGAGCTTGGGTGGCTGTATGATCTGCTACTATTACTTCTATATTTAGTACATTGCCGGTGGATTTAACAAAGCAATATTACATCACTTTTTTTCTAAATATAAATATAATCTTAAGTACACCAACGAAGAGTTATATTTGGAGTGCAATAATTAGGTTATGTCGCGGTGCGATTACGAAATGTATACATATGTCACAGCATTAAAGATACACAATCGGCTCTAAGGACGCCAGTGATTTCCAAATTTAACAGTAAGGTAAATTAAATATAATAATTTAGAATCTATATACCCGAGACCAAAAAAATATAAATATTGCATGGATTTGGTTAGTTCCCAATTTTCAGTACAATATACCAAGGAGCAAAAAAGCCTATATTTGAATTATAAAAGCTTATAACCATTAAAAAAAAATGAATAAAGAATATCAATCCAGCTTCTTGGTTGATGCCAAACCTGCTCCTCGTGTTTGTGCTTTCATAAATTCTGGAAACGATCATATGATTCAAAATCAAGTGATCGAAAATCCACAACAACTCATCAAACTTCCATTTCCACCAGAAATCAATTCACGAGATTTGGTTATTTTACATCCCGATGGTCGAATTCCCAAATCTCCTAATGCTTTCATTATTTATCGAAAATTATTTTTTGAAACTGCTCGTGCTAATGGTTACAACTTACCAATGAATATTATTTCTTCAATGGCATCACAATCATGGGAACAAGAATCGAATGAAGTAAAAAATGAATATAAGAGAATTGCAAAAGAAGCTTTTAATTATCGTAATGAATTATTTCCTAAAATGAAAGTTGAAAAGAAAAGAAACCAATGGAAGGCAGTTTCGTTCGATAAACCGCCTACTCGTAAAGTTAGAGCGCCTAAATCTATGAAATCTATCAATAAACCTATTAATAAATCTATTAATAAACCTATTAATAAATCTATTAATAAATCTATTAATAAATCCATTAAAAATAAACAACTCGAATCTCCTACTGTAGATTCTGAACTTAATATGTTACCTGAAACAACTGACGCCAACAATTTAAGTAGTGAGAATTTACAGATCCTAAATCTTGATTTATTTGCAGATTGGGCCGATTTCTTTGATAGTCAAAATGTTTATCCAAGCCCCAATTTATCAACAATTTCTAGCGGTTACTCACCTAATACGATTGAAGAATTTGAATTTGACTTAGAAACTTCTACACAATGCTTTGATTTACCAATTCAACAAGACCAACAAGTCAATAAAGATATAATTAATAATTTTTTATTCATTGATGAAAACCAATCTCCTATCAATGAAAATCAATATGGACTTGGAATTTTTGATTTCTCTAATGAAAATTTAGGAACCATTCAAATTTTTGATACACAAAACATATTTAACATGGTCGATAAGGCATCTTATAATCAATCATTAAGCACAACAATAAATCAAGATTATTTAAATGATACATTAATTTCTTATGAGATGGGTTTTGATTATTCATTTTAAAAAAGAAAAAAAAATTATATTATTTTCATTAAAATATATGCAATCAAAAAAATTATGTTATTTAAAAATTTATGTTAATTTTTATGCAACAATTAATAATTACGAGAAATTATGAACATAAGCAATATTAAAAAAAAAAACAAGCTTAAATGTACTGTATATAGAATTTTTTAGCATAGAAACTTCAATTTTTTTACTTGTATAATTTTTTACATATTTAATATCCCATTTTCTAAAAAATAAAAATATTAAAAAATCTTAAAAGCTAACTATATAACTGATATTATTTGCATAAGTATACTTAATAATATAGTGCTAATCAACACAAACTCAGACTTATGATAATTAGCCAGCTTTATAAGCACAATCGTAATTGTAAATCACAATTATTTTATAAAAAAAAAAAATCAATAATCATAGTGTTACGGGGTGAATCGTAGGTTTAATAACTTAAACACTAAATAATATATGATTTTAGATGATAAGGCAACTCGCCAGAGGCGTGACTATGGTGATTTGACAATAATTTGATTTTAAAGATTTATCAAGGTGATTTATTCAATATATTATATGAGTTATATTGGAATCCCGTAGGATATAGGATGATGTTTACAAGAGTGAAATCTCAATGCTTTTATAGCTTTGACTACATTAACGAATTCAAGTGGCTTACAATGAGAATTACAACATAATTAAAATAAAGAAGGCTTTGCTTTGCTTCTGCAATATTTCATATTGCAACCACTTGTACTTTATCTTGATTTTCAGTCTTCTCTTTTTCTTCTTTACATGTACTTGTTCTTCAGTTTTTGTATTCGGTTTGTTTATCTTCTTCAGCCGATAAGCCTCAACCGATAAACCAGTATTTCTTGTCTTGATTGCTCTTCGATCATGGGTTTACTACACCGATTTTGTTGATCTACCTTTTAGCCCATGACAATAGCAATAGAGATCACACAACTTTGCAAAGCGCAATAATTTTCATATAGTACTGCATACGGGAATGGACTAGAAAAACCCCATTAGGCTTTTTCTAACCAATTAATTCAAGTTAAAGTATCTGTTCTTATTTATAAGAAATACAATTTTTATTATACATTAATTAGCTTAATAAATGATTAAGATTTTTAAATTTGAAAGTATCAATTCTTCAAAAATACAATGCTTTAAGAATAGAATAACAACCAATCAAAAGGTTGTCAATTTAACTTGCAAAATATGAAAAACTTTAATTTATCTAAAAGCATTCCCGAAATAGACAAAATCAAGTCGTAGCTTTTAAATTTGTTTATTGTCATGGTTGAAGCTGAAGCTGAAAATTTTAAATATTCAAATCCTGAGTACTTTTTTTTTTTTTTTGATAATAAACGGATTTTGGTAAGGTTTATATTTTAAAATCGAGATCCCTAATTTCCAGCTTCAACCACGACATTTATTAAGTAATTGAAGGTGTAACTTTTTTTGTACGGCTAATTGTAATCTATAGTAATACAATCTAAAATCTATTAATTGTTGATAACAAAATTTGAACCTACTCACACTCGGTGTGTACTTTTTTTTAATTAGTCAAAATTAAAGTTATTGCAGTATTATTTATTAAGAGAAGTGAATGTGATAAATTTCGGTATCAGAGATTTTGGTATCAATATAGCTAGAGTTGGGATGCTCACTATACTGGTTGACTCACGATAATCCGAATTTCAATAATCTGTATATTGATTCTAATACATAGACAAGAATTTTTTATTTTGTTCGAAAGTTTTTAAACTAATATTATGCCGTATTTTTATAAGTCCTGTATTACACTAATTATTTCGAAATTATTAGTTTAGGATGTCAAAATCCAATTTTTTTGCAATTGAAAATACGTGCAAAATCAATCTAATATTTTCTAGCATTTAAAGTTTTTATATTGTAGAGTTAGTTTTGTGTTTAGAAATAGTCATTTAATTCAAAGCTTTTTATAAAATAGTAAGGCTTTTATTATATTAGAAAATTTTCATTCTTCTTATTTCGAATAGGTAACAGTCTTATCCAATAGCATTTAAAATGGTATCAGCTTACCTTGAATTTTTATTATGATAACCAATATCGATATGTACAGTATATTTATTATTCGTAGCAATTGGATATTTTAAAATATCAATTTGGATACTTGTTGCCTTTATCATTTTCATTATCAATGTTAATACATACCATATTCTTCAGTTAACCTTTAATGAGGATATCGATCATCACTTTGGCTGTGCTGATGTACGTACGATTCAGGAAATTTAAAAACCTCAATATTCCATGTAGAGATGATTCATAAACTAGTACACACCGAAAATAAATTTCCTAAATTATCATTCTCAATAAACGAAGGGTCTAGAACTCTCTTTGAATAAAACAATAAGCAAAGAACAATAAGTACGCAATTGCATGCTATTGAGAACGACAAATTTAGTTTATTCAATAAGTTAGTTTAACCTTGCATATTTACTGTCTTCCTCCTATATAGTCACCTCCTATATAATCACATCATAGTAAATACCCTTTTTATAATCACACCAAGGCCTACAACACTTTACTAATAAACTTATAAATAAATACTTCTTTATAAGCACATCATAGTAAAAACCTTTATACAATCACACAATTTGCATGATATGGACTGCGTGATTATAGAGGAGGACGGCAGTATTTATTAGCCAAATTATGCGCTATTTAACCATCGTTTATGCTTGTAGGCACCTGTGTAGTTTAGATTATTGTATAACTGCTATAACTATAAATAAGGCAGCTGCGCAACGTCATCGCGTAAAACCAGGAACGGGAAAGTATCTAATATTGTCGACCAAATTCGTATAATAACCAATCAAATTCGTAAAAATACCAATCAAATTCGTGATTCAATCAAATTAGTATATTTTGATCAATCTTTGATGACTCACGATCTAGTGATCCAATTTTGATAAATTTGGTACCACTCGAATCCTCACACCGAGAGGATTCGAATGTTATGATTGGTATTTTTACGAATTTGATTTGGTATTTACACGAATTTGATTGGTTATTATACGAATTTGGTCGACAAATCCTGTACACAGGTACATGTCGGAGGAAAGCAGAGGTCTTTTTCGATTTTTACAGTAACAGCTGCCCTACCTTGGAAAGTGCATCAGGAGTACGTCAAGTATAACCCAAGTTTGCATAAGGAGAGCGTATCGGATACAAAGTAAAGTTTCCAATTCTATAATATAATTGGAAATTTACTTTGTATTCGATACACAGGAAGATGCTCTCCTTATGCAAACTTGGATTATACTTGACGTACTTCCGATGCACTTTCCAAGGTGGGGCAGCTGTTAAAAACCGAAAAAGACCTCTGCTTACTGTATTTAGTATTAGGGCTGTGATCAAGCGGTTAATAACTTGCCATTTTAAAATACACAACACCAAATTCTATTTTTAAATTTTTGGCACCAATAGCCTATTTCGTACAAGAACTGTCGGCACCATAGTATAATTAATTCACGTGAATCGGACATCCAATCAGATCCTCGAATTCGGATACACCCTCCCTTAAACCATGCACTTCGTTCCTGGTATAAATAAGTATCGAAAATTGTAATTGATGCGTATCCATTTTTTTTTTTTTGATAATCAAAATGTCCAACGAAAATTTGACCGAATTAATCGATGGTTTTAAGAAATTAAATTTTTCTGATTGTCAAAAGTCAGCAGATACGAACGATCCTGACGGAATTTTCTGGCTCGGTTATTGTTACGAATATGGAATTGGAGTTGAAAAGGACGAAAACGTGGCATTCACACATTATCTAAAATCAGCAGAATTGAATAATTCTAACGGAATGTATCAAGTTGGTTATTGTTATTATTTAGGAATTGGCGTCGAAATCGATAAGCAAAAAGCGTTTTCGTATTATTTGAAGTCTGCTGAGGCTGGGAATTCCAAAGGAATTCGGAAAACTGCCTTTTGTTACCTTTTTGGGATTGGCGTGAATAAGGATGTAGATGGATATCAAAAATGGTATATGAAGTAAGTTATTTGTTAATTTTTTTATTATAATAATTTTGTAATTCTTAATTTGAAATTGAGATTTCTTATACAATTTTTAATTATTAGGAAGTAAGTATAAAATGCATATTCATCAATCTAAATCGGCGATTTAAGTTCATAAATATTTATTTATTGTTGGTTATTTAGTCCGTGAGTATAAAGAATTTAACAATTTTTAGAATAAAAACAATTCACAAAACATAAATAAAATTATTTACGTTTAAATTCATTAATCATTTTATTCAGCACGTGAGTATAAAGAACATTTATTAATCAATGGAATTAATAACAGCAAAACAAGTTCACAAAACAAGATCATAAATACTTATTTACCATTACGTTTAAATTCATTTCATTCACATTAATTTAGTCTGTGAGTATAAAGAACATTTATTAATCAATGGAATTAAAAACAGCAAAACAAGTTCATAAACTTATTTACCATTACGTTTTTAAATTCATTTTATGCGCATTGATCATTTTATTCAGCTCGTGAGTATAAAGAACATTTATTAATCAATGGAATTAAAAACAGCAAAACAAGTTCACAAAACAAGATCATAAATACTTATTTACCATTCATTACGTTTAAATCATTTCATTCGCATTAATCATTTATTCAGTAAGTGAGTATAAAGAATATTTATTTATTATTGATTAACGGAAATAAAAACAGCAAAACAAGTTCACAAATAAAGAACATAAATATTTATTTACCATTACGGTCAAATTCATTTAATTCGCATTAATTTAGTGAGTAAGTATAAAGAACATTTATTAATCAATAGAATTAAAAAGTTCACAAACCAACCATTACGTTTAAATTAATTTCATTTGCATTAATTTAGTTAGTGAGTATAAAGAACATTTATTAATCAATGGAATTAAAAAACAGCAAAACAAGTTCACAAAACAAGTTCATAAATGCTTATTTACC